ATGTACGTGTGAATGAATGTATGTGTGTATACATGTAATAAGGAGGGAAAGTACGTGGTAAAGTAGGTGTTGCTGGAATTTTCATCGCGAGCTCTATCACCACCTCTATTTACCTACTAGGACCATCATCAAGAACCCTCCAATCACCTGTCAGAACCCTCATCACGATCTGCATCGTCACCTCTACAAGCTTATCGGAACCCGCCTCTTCATCACGATCTGTATCGCCAACTCTATCTGCCTATCAAAATCCTTGCCACGATTTGTATCATCGCGTGTATCTAGTCCGCCGGCCCCCCCTTGCCCCTGGCCCCTCCCCCTTCCCCCTCTGTGGGGTGGTTGTGGGGTTTGGTGGTTTATTGTTTGGCGCAGGCTTTTGAGTTTAGGGATGTTTAGGGTTTAGTCTAGGGTTTTATAGGCTGAAAAGGTAACCAGGTAGAAGGCATCGAGTCGACAAGGGCTTAGTGAGGGTTTGGGGAGTAGGTTCGTTCGGGTTGACGGTTTATTGGAGCCTGCATTTAGGTGGGGTTTAGGGTAGTGTAGGGTTTGAAGTACAGGTAAAGGTTAATTAAAAGCAGGAGCACGCGCTACGTTGTACGGTTTATGGCTTGCATGAGATCCCGGCCCTCTCTGTGATCCCTAGCCACCGCCCATCTTGGGCGGGGGGGAATGCCAGGCGCGGGACCATATCTACCTCTCAGAATCGTCAGCACGATCTGCATCATCACCCCACATGTACCTTTAAGGACCGTGAAGACTTGAATTGCATCCTACGTCTAAACCCTTTCTGAACTGTGTCTTCGACCGGCGTAGTCGAGGCACGGGAACGATGCTAAATGTATCTACAGTGCTCTCACCACACTCCTGCGTCTGCCCTGCTATGGAGGGACGGGAACACGTGTGCATGCAAACAAGCCAGAGGAAGATGACAAGCCATGTCAACAATACAAAGCTTGATATTCTTCGCACTCAAAGTTCTTAGGGAAGTTTCCCTAAGATCTTCGATGTTCAATGTTCAGTTCGAGGAAACATGTCGGATTCGATGGTTCATGATGTTTTCAGGTTTCCATGCATTGAAAATGAACATGGAAATTTCCTGCAAAAGGTTCCCGGGAACCTTCGATGTTCAATGTTCGAGCAAAGGAAATTTTCGAATTTTGCTTTTGTTAAAAGCTGTTTTTGACCTTTCGCAGTGCCTTGCTTGTACATCTGTAAACCTCTCGATGTGACTGTGTGGCACAGACTTGTAGTATACAGTAGACATCATTACTTGTACATATTAATCCGTCTGCGTGCGCTTGTTTTTTTTCAATATGCGTGGTCCTTCTGACTGTGTGGTCCTCTTGATGGTTTGGAAATCCTACGACATACAGATCTCTAGGGTTGCTTTATGTTTATATCCATATGTCTCTATGCACGGATGAACAAATATGCGTAAATTCTATATGTGTTTTTTATGCTGGTATGGAATGGGAAGGCAGCAAGCACTTTAGTCGTTTTTCTGTTTGGCCTGCTCTTGCTTCGGCATGACTCGGGTTTTAAGCTTGTGGTGAGTCTGAAACTGAAGTCACCTACGGGCTGAAGGATGGAGGCTGTCACAAGTTGAGCGTGTTTTTGGCGAATTTTGGGTGCTTTAGGGAGACCCCGCTGTCAACAATCACTGGAATTCGTAAATTTGGGGATTGCCCGAACCCGGCAAATAGACCAAGATGCCAATGTGTCAGCTTCTTTGGGTGCTTTTGATATGCACCAAGCCCGACACATACCCATGTTTTGTGCGCTTTTGGGTGCTTTGGGAGCCGAAACGCAAACAGTTTAGCAGTAAGCTCCGAAGCTTTGTGACTCAAGCATGCATCTTGTACCGAGTATCGAGCTTAGCAAGAGTTGAGCCACCGAGCCACACCGTCAATGGTAGTGCCTGACTGTTCGGTGTTGTTCGCTAGACGTTGCCGTGGTGCAGAGCCTTGGAGTCGTGCAAGCATTTAAGGCGCTAGAGATCTGGAATGCTCCGAGTTTGCGAGAAGACAAGCGACCTGAGGCGGGCACGATGTAAGATTTTGGCAGGTAAGTTACTTGAGAGATGTTTTTGATGCTGTCAGTTTTCCCAGATCTGCGCAGAGGCCGTCGAGCTCTCGCAATTGCTGGAGCGAGTGCTGCCCAGCTAAGTCTGAGTTTATAACGCGTGAGTGCGCATGGCCTGTCTAGCAGGAGAGGCTGAGGCATGCTGAGGCTTCAAGTAGGAGGAGCCTTTCTGTTTCAGTGAGGGACAGGGGAGCGAAAGTCTAGCAAGAATGCCTGCAGAGTCTGCGCAAGAACAGTCCAGGAACGCTACAGCTCTCAAAGCGAACGCTGAGACTGGTGAGGCAAAGACCCGCACCCGACAGGCGCCATTGTCACATCTTCAGTTGCTGTCTGCGAAGCCTGAATCTGAAAGGACTTGTCCGATCTGCTGGAGCTTCTGCCCAGCGTCACCATCGCATACTACAGGACTGTAGAGTCTTTGGTTTTGGCCTGCCTCAACCTCTGCACTTGTTTTGAATGCTCCGGCAGCGAGGATGCGCTTCACCAGCGTTTTTGATAAGGCGCCAGTGAAACGCGGACTCTCGAGCACCGCTGCCACTCGGATTTCTAGCATGATGGTCGTCTGCGGTCGTTTTGGACGAGAGCTCCGTGCATTCGCCGATCCCTTGCATTCCTCTGCCTGCAAATGCGGACAGCTGGCACCGTCTTGGCGGACAGCTGGCACCGCCTTGGCTTATCAACGAGTAGCAACTTTCAACATGCCAGTGTGTCGCCACGAGGTTTATGCAAATTTGGCTCTGCTGGCGGTTTTCGTGCCCTGCTTCCAGATTCAATGTCATCGATGTGCACGGTCTTTGAGTTCTCTTGGCCTGGAGAACACAAGGCTTGAACCTGCAACCCAATGTGGAACAAACCAGAGTGCGCTGTCAGGTACGTGTGGTCGCACCGCGTTTGTTGGCTGCCGACAATCTGGACGAGTTTTTCGAGGCTCAAGGATGAAAATAGTGCAGTCAAAGATCGGAGTGCAGTCACGCTGAAATAATTTTTATGCATTCGTAGTGGAGCAGGCTGTGCAGCCTCTGGGAGACTCTCAGCTGGCATCTGCTTCTGCTTCACCATGGGATTTTTCTCGGCTTTGACTGCGTGACCGTTTTTCAGACTCAGGTTCCTGATCGTGCATCCCTGCGCCTCGGCTGCAGTTCCTAGGTTTGCATGTTCCGTGGCCGCGAACGCCCGAACATCAAACTCTGAACCCTTCACAGCCGATTAGTGGATGAATACAAGAGGTGTGTTTGCATCTGCTTAGGCTCGAAGTCATTCGCACCTGTTTCGTTGTCACTCCGTGCTCAGGGTGCATGCGCCAATCATGAAGCTGAGGATGAGTATACTTCAGTCTGTTGCTGCCTATGATACTGTGACGAAAATCGGACTCTACGTGCTGGCCTTCGTCGCCGAGAAGCTGTTTCTTGTTCTTCTTCGTGCTAGAAAGGCATGTGAAGTTGTGGGACAGAGCAGGAAGAAGAGCTAGTACGGTGCAAGAGGAACGTTACATGCGGATTCGCTCGTGAAGCTTGGGCTGCGAGGCATTTGGATTAATGCTTCGCACTGACACGATATAGCATTTTCCGGTCAGCTAGGCCCACGATGTTCTATCAGAGCAAACTGAGGGAAAGCTCGAACAACGCAGCCCGTGCCTGGTCCCTCTTTTGTGAACGTGTATACCGTATACCCTTATCATTTACGCCTTGTT